ATTGTCGGTAGGCGCGATCATGAATCAGTAAGGGGTCGTCCAGAGAGTATGTCCATTTTCCTCAGATGCACTTGTCAAATTACAGGAGCTCAGCGCCTGCGAGACTCGAGGTAGGCCACCCAGCAGAACGCATATGAACTGCACACAAGATGTTGCCTACCCAACAGGCGCCATGAGTTCTCGCAGCGGCTAAACTAGGAAAGTTCCGAACGGCGAACGACGGACGTACTTTCTGGATGATCGCATAGATGTCCGCAAAATAAGAAAACCTCTGTGGTTGACAAGTTTAGGAAGGCATCCTACAGGTTACACCATCCATCCATCCATCCATCCCTCCATCCATCTATGATAGGGTACTGTGGCCACACAGTGATTTGGAACTGGCCTCATACGGTGAAGTCAGATCGTCGGAGACGTCTTAATTGCATGATTATTAACATTTCATGTTTAATTTCAATTTGAAACTCTACCTCCAGAAGCCATGTCTGTGCGATTGTCCAGGTAAACACTTTAAATTTTGTCCCAGGTATAACTACTGTGGGTTTTGTGTTCCAAAAATCGTTGGTATTTCTTGCTGTAGATCACGTGGTTCTTGATCCATATTCTCAACAAAGTGGTTTAAAAATATTGAAAAATAAAAGATCTAATTTAATCTTATCATGTTAAATTTTGATGTTTGCGGCGCGGCGGCGCAGCGGCGCGGCGCAGTTTCCCAGAACGGTTACCCTGCTTAGCAGACAATGACACTTGTGATGGTACCCCCGAAATTGGTGGTCTGGTGGTTTTGCCCTTTTCGCTTCAACTAGTTTCAAACCCAACAGCAAAATGTGGAGTGGCATTCATATGTGCGCGCGTTTAGCTCTACCGTGCTGCCACCTGTCGTCGACAAGGCAAACCTTGCGACGTAGCAGAAAGCAGTCGTACCATAACCAAAACAAAGGTTGTCAGGCGGTGTGTTTTCATCGAAGACGTTTCACAATTGTGGCTGCTAGTATTGCATGCAGCTCAAAAGCAAACGTGGCAATGTCAACTTTCATGACAGGATAGTTGATGTAATCATTCGACAGTTGAAAAAAAAGGTCTTTCTCTGCTAATATCTTATGTACTTGAACATCATAACCATGTTTAGTTTACCTATTTCTTATTCCCTTTGTAAGTATACGAAATCTCAAAGAGTAATACACAATATTTACCTTTTCTGAAATTATAACAAGCATTTATCCATTTATCTCATGCATCCTCTGTTTGGTTACAGATCTTTGTGAAAGAGTACTCAACCTTTTGACTGGAGAAGATGATCTTTGGGATATGTTTATCACATCCATTCATTTATTATGTGTCTCCATTTGCTTCTTTCTTTGTCGATTCATTTACCTTGTAATCAAGACCTCTAATAATGTTGTAAAAATACTTCCCAAACAATCAAAAGATAAGGCGATGAGCACAATGATTGTCATAGGCTCAGGAGGACACACAACAGAAATGCTTCGACTTGTAAAAGTAATGACACCCAGTTTGTATTGCCCTCGAACTTATGTCATGGCATCTACAGATACTACAAGTGAGTTTAAGGTTCATGTTCTAGAGGAACATCTTGCTACCAAAGCAAGTAGAAAATATCGCAAATATTCTATATTTAAGATCCCTCGTAGCAGGCATGTTGGTCAATCATTTTTCACATCAGCCTTTTCTACTATCTATTCGTTTTTGAAATGTGTGCCAATGATGTTATACCATAGACCTGAATTGGTTCTGTGTAATGGACCTGGTACCTGTGTTCCCATATGCATTCTGGCATTTTTACTACGAACTTTGTTCCTTAGCAACACAATTATTATATTTATCGAGAGTGTTTGTAGGGTAGAAAGTCTGTCAATGACAGGTAAAATTTTATACTACTTTGCTGATGTGTTTCTTGTGCAATGGCCAGACCTGGAGCAGAAGTATAGTAGAGTGGCTTATGTGGGCAGAGTTTAGTCTTCTCATTTCTCATTAGCAAGCAAGTCTTAGCTATAGTATTTTTGTACGCTCAATTATGTTTCATATTCAATCTGTAAGTGACGTGTCTTGAGTATCTTTTGTGATTTAGGTTTCCTTGTCAATCAGCTCCTAGTCACTTGTTTTAAGTATCCATTCAGCTCAATTGAGAAGATTGATTGATCAGAAATAGTCTAATACGTAACTATCGCTGCTGTAATATTTATTCTTAACTTGCAGCAAATAACTTTCCTTATTGGGACAGGTATGGAAATGATTGTGACTATTATTAGATTACCAAAGACAAATATTATTTCTATTTTAGTGTGATTTTTGTATCAATTTAATTTTAAGTGTTTCTACTCTTTTATATATTTCAAGTCCAAAATTGTGATTGTAGTTAGCTTTCTAAAGATTTTCATTTGAATCATATGTTAAGAGAAAAAGTGTTTGGATGTCATTGCATTAAGATTTGTGTTAGTCTCTATTCAAACTCATATCATGTCTGATTTGTGATGTCTTTTGGTAAGTGTTTCATTAAGAAACTCAGTATAGTGGATAGTGGCAGTTAATAATATGCAAGTGAATATTAAAAAAAACACTGTTTTAGAAATCTTTCTTAATTATTTAATTTGTATATTTTATATCATAAACATATGATAACTTTTAGGGGAAGGAGGTTTTGGCTATGACCAAATATGAGGAAAAATATAGATGACTATGAAATGAATGTACAGATCTTTAGATTTAAAACAAATTAAACAATTACCTTCTCCACACTCTCTGCAGCGTGATGAAAATAAACTTGTCTTATTTGTTAAAATCTCACATCCTTCGCAAAGGGCACCAGATACATACAATTTGTTTCATTGTCGTAATTAAACTGAACATGAACATGTCGATCAAAAGGATTACTAACTAGTCCTACAAGCTAATTTGGCATTTACAAGTTGGGGAGGGGGCATCAATACATGCTACTGAGATGTAGAACTGTGTTAGCAGATATGGCAGTAACAGATATCAATATGTACATGATTGGAACAAATCAACAAAATAAACAATTTGAAACAAAAATATCAATTCTGATGGACAAGGCCTTCAAGTCCGATCAATTAAGGCTATACGGAGAATAGGTTTTTGATAACATGATCATAATACAATAGAGCACACATTTGAAGACTCTATTACCATACAATCCTCGATACAATCCCTCTCTTTCTCGTCACACCAGGTTTAAGCATAGAAAAAGATAGACTTATTCATTTGGGGTGACACACGGTATCTTTTGTTGTTCTCATTGTTCAAGCTTTCCTAGTACCACTCAAAGAAAAATTATAGTTAGAAAATACGAAAACTAATAGTAACAAAACAAACAAAAATGCAGGTTGGGGTAAACAGAAATGGAATGAGGAATGATAAGTATTTGCCAGTCTTATTGGAATGTGCAAGTCAAATTTAGAAGAGCTGATCCCTCTTTAAAATTGTGATTGTCAGGAATCTCTTTAAAATATTCTGCTTTTTAAAGAGCTTGCTAAGAACACAACTTTGGGTGTGACTGTTTCAACTGATTCAAAATAAGTACAAGTAAATGGACAAGCATTTTACCATTTGACTACTTTGAATCTATTCAGAGAAGACTGGAAACCCTTTTCGATTATATAGCACCTTGCAACTACACAATCAAAAAGTTTTGATTGGCAAAAGGAGTTGAACATTAAAGCAACAAATAATTATTTTCATGATGTAATACTGATCCTTTTTATCTGTAGAAAAATTACCTATGAGGTAAAAATAGATTTAGTATAAATATGATAACTTGGAGAAAATTAAATTAAAGAATGCTGTAGCATTCACTCTCAAATGGGTTATAACTACTACTTTTTAATTCTCAAAAATCTAGTAGCACAGAAGTGCTGGTAACAAATTTATGATTCTGATATTTCTCCATTTTCATTTAAACAAGGACATTCATACTATGTACTTTCCCTGGATTTAAATGTCTCCTCACACATCTCACAAGACATTACCTCTAGAACTGAAATACAAAAACTTCAAGGCTATGTCACTGATTTTTAAAATTTATAAAATGCAGAATAAAATAAAGAAATATAGTCAACAATAATATGAAATCTTTTAAAATTACAAGTGCAAAGCAAAAGGACAGATTCTTATTTCTCTGGCAGAAAACAAACTAAAGAATCTAGACAATTGATTCCATAAGTTTTCTAGAATGAAAGACAAAATCAAAATCTTCTTCCCCTTTAAGTTAACCTTTGGGTTTTGCCTAAATAAAAGTCTCAATAGTACCTTATTTTGGTAAGACAGGTGAGAGAAGTCATCAGTGGCAAGTTTTATGCCAAAACAGGAAAAACACTGCTGCTCAGTTGACTCGTACAATAAATAAATATCCAAAATTTTGACTGCAAATCATGCTTTGCCTTCACACTAATACTCTTGTTGATAGTTCTGAGTAGGTTCAGGTAAGAAGACTCCCCAACCATAAAATAAGACAAGACATCGGCCTCATTTTAAAATGTTGAGACAACAGGTGAGACGGTAAAAAATAAAGTCTTGAGCTCATACAAACAAGTGCATAATCTAAATGGGGTAAAGAAGCTTAACATCTACACAATATCACAAGCTGCCTTGTTGTGCAGGGCGCCCACTCAGTGGACTCCCTACCCAGCAGTGAATGGGTGGGGTATCATAGAGAGCACAGTGCTCATGAATATCTGGCACTAAACTGTCAACAGTAACAAACTAAAATACTTCACGATCAGAAAAACAAAAGTGGCAATAAAAAAATAGGGAACAGGATATGTTTTAACAAGAGGCAGAAAGACGTAAAGAACTTGTACATGGCATCTGGATAAATAATAATTTGAATATACACTTTCATACACTTAATACTTAAGTCACAGTCATACATTTTTCATTTGAACATACTCTCACATTCACACATATACACACACACATACACCAGATCACGAACAACAAAACATATTCTTCACTTAAAACTTGAAAGATAAAAACAAACGTCAAAACAACACACTTCATATTTAAATTTTACCTATGATGGAGACTTTAAAAGCACAACATCTAAAGAACAGTCCGCATAAAGATTCGGACAAGGACAAGTAGAGAGCTTGAAACCTCTGCATTTTACTCCAAATGCAAAACATTTATTGTAAAATATCCTGCAGATTGAAACCAGCTGACGAGTCTAGGGAACCAAACAGGTCAGCATCTCCTTCTAAGAAGTCAAAGTTTAAGTCATTGTTGCTTTGATTTTGAGAACTGCTTGTTGCTTGGTTGTTAGGCTGGCCTGGACTGTTCACAAAGTTCGGCGGAACACCTTGACCAGGACTATTCACATACCCTGGACTATGAATAAATGTCTGTTGGTTTCCTGGTGAGTTGCAGAATGAAGGATTGTTGGTGGTGGGATTGCTGGGTGAGTTTACATAGGCACTAGGATTGCTTGGACTACCATAGTTGGGATTGCTGTTGCTGTTTTGGTATCCAATAGCCGGTCCACCACTAACACTCATTGCAACTGATTGAGACATTTGCATTTGCATCTGAAACAAAAAACACAATTGCGGTGAGAATAAAATTTGGTGATCTCAACAACCAAATATCAACATAAGAATACTTTTTACTAAACTCACCTGCGAGTTGCCCTGTTGACCCATCATTTGCATGTGAGAGCTGCGCATTTGGACTGCGGCCATTTGCTGCTGGTTTAAGCCTGTGCCAAAACAAGAATTTGATGATGAGTAAAGCCACTCATAAGAACCACACAATTATTGCACCCAATAGCAGGTCAGTCAATTTACTCACCTTGATGTTGAGTTCCTTGGTGAGGGGCACCTTGGTGAGGGGCGCCTTGGTGAGGGG